AAAAGAGCTCACGGAACCCAGATACCTTGACACCCCAGACCGCGAACGACTGGACTCGGCGTTTCTATGACAAGAGCGGAATCAAGACGTCCAAAGCGAGTCAAGCCCCTCGAGTCGCAAGCGCTCAGAACGCGGACATCGCCGGTGTTCACGAAGGCCAGATCCGCCGCGCCGGCCGCTGGAACAACGGGGACCAGATGACGGGCTGCTATCTGACCTCTCTGCCGTTTGAGTTCATGAGGGCTGTCGCCGACTTCGATCCCGAATGGTCAGGGTCCTATTTTATAGCCAGAAGCACCGCCAAGCCTCCCAGTCGTCTTCTCGCCCGGGTCTTTCCTGGGTTGGATTACTGGAGGGAGCGGCATGACGCTCCAGAAGGCAGTCCAATAGCCGCCACCGTTCAGCAAGACAAGGCTGCGGGAGCTTTCCTCGAGCTTCTTGATTGGCTCCGGGAGGTCATCCTGCAAGACGCCGTCTTTCTGAAGCCTCTTTTCCCCAACCACCCCATCTTCCGGGACCCTCTCTTCCAAGATCCGGAATTTGAGCAATATGCAGCTCGGGTTCGCGAGATCTGCAGCCAGGTTCACGAGGATAGCCACCAGACGGCCATCGAGAAGACCATCCCGTCGGTGGCGGAGAAGCTACGCACCATCTCAACCCAGCAGGTCGCCGAGAATGCGCTAAACCAACGGCGACACGAGGAAACAGTCCAGGCCCTCCGGAACTTGGAAAGGAAAGTAGACCAGCTGGCGAACACGAAATATACGGTTACTATCAGCCCCGAAGGTAAACATCTTGAACAGAGGGTGGAGCTGGCGCGCGGCAGGCGCGTACTTCGGAGACGGCGAGAGTCGTCGCCGTCTCCCTGCTCCCCTCACCCTTCTTATCCGCCCCCTTTTGCCGTCGCGTCCGGAGAGGCCGCCGCCGCCGCCGCCGCCGCTTTGTCCAACACCGAGCGTCTCCTCCGGGCCGAGAAGTCGACTGGACAGCCTGTTACCGCAGCGTCTCCGTCGGACGCTCCGGGCGTCGCGGTTGTGCGTCTGGACGGCGAAACACCGCCGCGTTTTCGCTTCCCACAGTCCGTCAACACGGTGATGGACCTGTGGCGTCTCTGGAGACATGGGATACCTCCAATGCCGTCTATCCAGAGTCTCGAAGAGCGATGGGGTGCTCGGTGGCGAGCGAGAGCCGACCGGCAATACTTCTCCATCCGTCGTCGGATCTTTGACGAGATTGTACGTCGCTCGCAAGCCCGAAATCAGCCGGAGGACGTATCGGCGCGAGAGATGGATCTAGAGAGGGAGAAGATGTCGTTGGATAAGTTCTCCAAGACTCTGAGGGCACAACAGGGCCAGGGCGCAGGCTGAACGGGATATCACTTGGCTACATTGTTTGGGGGAAAGGCGGGTTGGGCTACCCCCTGACAAGAGACGCAGAAACGTCGAGAGCTACTTGTCGGAACGAAGCTGCCTTGATGACTGCATTCAACGGACCTCGGTGGTTGATTGGTGCCAGCACTGCAACCCCTCTTCCTTACATACTTAGTCCTCTCCCATGCCCATCAACAGCATGGAAAATCAATCACTTTTACCACCTTAAAAATTCAATCCACTGCTTTGACTGGGAATAGCTTCTTCCAGCGCATATCTCAGCGGTCGTCGCCCTGCAGGTTTCAACACTACTTACTGTCCATATCCATACCTACCGTACAGCAATCTACCCCATCTCGCGCGTTAGTTAACTTAACTGTAACTAACACAACTGTAACTATGTAGTTAACACAACAAAACATAATGACATATTCGTGGTTGTGTTGTGCTTGGAAAAGAAATTGTAACGGTCTCAGGCAGTATATTGCAACTAGCTGATGACGACTCTACGAGTACACTGAACTTGGAGAAGAAAAGGAGAGACGACAGACTCTGGTAGCTCGCAGGCATACTTATCCTCGTCGGCGCGCTGGTCTGAGCGCGTTGCTAGAAGGTTCGGTGTGCTGTGGGGCGAGTGGGAATAGCCTCATCAGGGGTCTTGGTATTGGCCGAGAGTCGCCGAGGCTCGCACCGGGCCCAGCCCGTTACAAT